CCTACCGGCCTCAGAGGGTTGCTGTAAGGTTAATGAATATAATGTATGGAATCCGCCCAGCACATGTTAAGCATTCAATCCATGAGGCTCAGAGAACCGCATCTGATGCTCCGGTTTGGGGCTTGGATAGAGGGTGACCTCAGCACAAGCCCACCAAGATGCCCCAAAGTCTCTAAAGTAGGCCCCATTCCAACCCACAAACACTGTGACCTTTATCAACCCCCCGCCCACCGCCACCACCAAAGACCACACATATTCCTATGGAACAACTGAGAAGCCCCAGTTGGACCCAGGAAATTTCTCATCTGTTCTCTTCCCCCTTTTGAGAATGGACCTGCCCTGGGGGAGCAGGTAGGGGTAGGGCGGGTTGCCACAAGAGTGAGTTCAGACCACCGGCGATCTTCCTTCTTCAAACAAGGCTTTGGACTCTAGTGCTTTAAAGCGTGGGTCCAGGCTCCGCAGTCTCTCCAAAACAGAGCTCTGGCAAGACTTCACGGCCACTACGCATTTCACCCCAGATCCTTCCGCTCCCTGCTTTTTTGCAGCTCCCCAAGTGGCTGTGAGAGTCATGAAGCCACAGACAGTTCACCAACGTGACTCGTTCACCCACGTGTCTGTAGGACCTAGCACAGCGCCCTGCTCAGCGGAACATGCGATAAATATTTATCGAATGGCTGAACGAATGAATGATTCTTTCTCAGTCTGTACTTGGTGCTTCACGAAGCCTTCTTTCTTCCCCTTCCTCGGAGCCCATTGTGGGTCTGCCAGCCTTCTGGACTCCAACAGTGCTTACCATCTGTGCCCGTCCTTTGGCCATGAGCCAAAACCAACTCCGGTTCAATTCAACCAACTTCCATTTCCTAGAGCCCATGGCGCCTTAATTGTACTTTTAAAACAAACTTGGCATGGAACAGAACCTTTTCCAAGACCTTTTGAAAGTCCAAATACATGCTTATAAATTACTTCCCTTTGTTGACACACTTGATTACCATCCGGGAAATAAGTGAGTTCTAGATGACGATGGATAAACAGATGATTATTTGGCAGGTATGGGGGCAGGTTTGGAGGGGTGGTGGAAGGGTGGGGAGGAATGAGACCCGATCCTTGTCTGATGGATTTGCAGTTTCATTAAGTGTGGTGGGGAAACGGGGTTGGCATCTCAGCCATTCAGGGCTGGCCTGGGACTGGGATTTGAAGGGATGCCCAGCAGCCCCTTGAGTGAAAAGAAAGCCAGAATCCCCCCCACACACCTGTTGTTTTTTGCTGAGGGTTGGGCCTTTTTAAATTTTATGACTAGTCTCCATTCCTGATTCCACCCCCTTCTCCACATCTCCCGCCCCCCATGCCGGTCTTCTGTAAAGGAGTGATGTGCTCTCTCTGTGGCAATTATTTCATTTAATGGAATTAGAATTAGCTTTGTATGTATTCATTGAAATATTATTTTGAATAGCAAAACCCTGCAAATAACCAGAAATCTTACAAGAGCTAACTTAAATATATAATGGTAGATCTATAGTCTAAAATACTGTGCAGACAATAAAATGATTTTTAAATTTTTTTTGAAGATTTTATTTATTTATTTGACCAAGACCCGTCGTGGGGCTCGATCTCAGACCCTGGGATCATGACCCGAGCCGAAGGCAGATGCTTAACCCACTGAGCCACCCAGGCGCCCCATAAAATGATGTTATTAAAATGTAATTGACATAGGAAAAATTCACAAGATGTCAAGTGAAGAGATAGGTTGCAAAACAATGATGTGGGGGGAGGGGGTGAGTACGAGCGCCTGCATGCAGCGGGCGTGCATGCTATTGGCAATGTTTTTTCTTGGCATTTCCCCATTTCCCCAATTTTCTGTATTGAGTGCTGGAGTCAGAGGTAAGGCACCACCAGGACGGTTGCATTGTAAAGACTCTGAGAGCACAAACAGGGCTATCAAGCAAGGCTTCCTCCAATCAGCGCATTTTGAGGAAGGTGAAAGGCACAGTATATTGGAGAAGAACTCCAGGAAAAAGTTGTTTTTCAAATTCAAGGGGAGGAGATGGTGTCCACTGATGGTGAGGACCTCGGGTCCACCCAAGAAAACTGGTCTTCATTAAAGAAGCAACAGGCAGTGACTCTGGGTTTCTGAACATAGGGGTGAATTGGCGGAAGTGGTGTTGGAAGAGAGTGACAGACTAAGTCTCCGACTTAGGGTGGCTTGACTAGCAATTCTTTGACATGGTGATAGTGCAAAAGCGATGCACATTCTTAGAAACTGTACTTCAAATTGTTTTGAATTTGGATCTTTTCCCGGGCTGGCTGTATGTGCTCTGATTTGCTCTCATAAATAACTGGTACACTCACAGCCATTCGGTTTTCAGTACAGTATTCAATAAGTTACATGGGACATTCGACACTTCATTATCAAATAGGCTTTGTCTTACATGATTCTGCCCAACTGGAGGCTAACGGAGGAGTTTTGAGCACGTCTAAAATAGGCTAGGCTAAGCTGGGTTGCAGGTTAGGTGTAGTAAGTCCATTTTCGATTTAATATATTTTCAACTTACGATGGGTTTATCGGGACATAACCCCATTGTTAAGTCAAGGAAGATCTGTATTCTAGCCAGAGCAGGGTGGATTGGGTTATAGGCAGGGCGATCTGCCAGGAGACTCTGCAGTTTGCATATTTGACCTGAGCTAATGAGAGCTTGGATTAAGCTTGTGGCAGCAACACCAGAAAAGAAGGAGCGGGTGGATCTGAGAAAGAACCAGAGCTAGAGAATCAAATTTGGCTAAATGTACACCAGGTGGTCCATGAAACCATGTAAGGAGACACTTTCCAAGGAAATGGATGTTAAGAGAGAAAAGCTGAGGACTGAGTCTTCAGGGATTCCAACAGTTAACGGGAGGAGGAAAGAAGAGGAGCCAGCAAAGGAGACAGAGGATGATGGGTCAGAGAGATAAGAAGAGAAACTTGAGAATGCAATGCCATGAGGGCCAAGGGTAGGACAGTTACAGGAAGGAGTGGGTGGTTGATGGTATCAAATTCATCCCCGAGGTCGGAGATGCAAACTGAGCAGAGACCCTTGAATTTGGTCGGGAGGTCGCTGGTGAACTTAAGAGAGCAGTTTGGCAAAATGTGCTGGATTCTAGAAGGTTCCAGGGAAGGGAGAGGTGGAGAAATGGAGGCAGCTCGTGGATACCGTCCATGTGACAAGAGTAATGTGTTAGGACTGAGAAGAACAAGCTCAAACTTTATCATTCTAGTCCCGCTACTTAACTACTTGAACTTGTTTCCTCTTCTGAAAATGGGAATAATCCTTTTAGTTCATAAAGCTGTCGAAAGCACAACAGAAGTTTAAATGATGACTTTTATGCGACAGCGAAGGGGCTTCTTCCTCGCCCCCACACCCCCAAACCCTAGAGATTTCTGGGCATGATGTAACAGATAACAGAAGTGTTTTAGCCTTTCAGTCCTGTCCCTAGGTTGATACTGTTTTGAGAATTTTCTAGCTGTGTCCCCTGGCATTCATGCCAAGTCACTTTAACAGTTCTTTCTGAGCCCCTCTGAGGTGAGGACGTTGAGGTAAGGTGGTTGGGGAGGAGTCAGTGGTCAGGGCCAGGTGGAATGCCTCTGAGATCTGTGTAGAAGCTGTTAAGGCTCTCTTTGGGACCCTGGATATAGAGCCCTGGGGTGCCAACCTCACCCCAACACGCAGAAGGCTGCATTCCCTGAAGGGCGCCTGGGGCAGAGGCACCCAAAACCCCTCCTTTATTAACCCATGGCACCTGCAGCCTGAATGGCCTCTGGAACAAAGGGTCTCGAACAGGCAGCTTGATTCTCAAGGCGGCCATAAAGGCATAGCCTTTTTTTCATTCCTTCTATTCTCACTCGGCAACCACACCTGATCAGCACGACCTCCTGTTTCTTTTTTCTACTCACTGTCTACAAATCAATCCTTTGAGCGCGTTTCCTTGGTGAGGCCCAGGTTGTTTGTAGTTTAACATGCTGTGGTTTGATCTTTGTCTCAGTGCCTTGTTTTCCCTTAAAAGAAGATACCCTCTGGGGGAAAAAATGGCTGCCCCCCAACAAGCCGGCAGGGCCTAGACCTGTTACCAAGCCCTGGAGGGGCTCGGGGCTCTGTGCCGGAGGGCCTAACCGGATGTGGAGGTGGCAGGTGCGCGTATTCTCTAGAAGACGCACTTTTCAGATCCTGAGACATCTAGAGACTGTCGTCCAAGGGCCTTTTTAAGTGTCCGTGTTCCTTTTAATGGAAGAGCTTGGCTTCATTTCTGGGAAGATGGCTTGCCGGCGGGAAACAGGGTCACATCGTGGAAGGTATAGTCACGTGCTAAGATGTGTAGGCCTCTCTAAAAAATGGGATAGGAGGACAGGGCAGGCGTACTTGCAAGGAGGCCGGGGTATTGTCAGCCACCCTTCTGGGAGACCAGGGAGTCGTACTCTGCTTCAGGCACCCAATTTGTCCTGAGCATCTCCTGAATGCGATGCTCTCCTCCTCGGCGCGGGGGAAGGCAAAAGGGCTGCAAAGATAGGCCAGGGTCCCTGGCTATGCGAGCAGTTGCCATCGGACGTGGACGAGCGGCCTCGGCTGCCCCCGTTATGGTCAGGCAGCGCTGACGGAATCCCGGGGGGCAGGGCTTGCCTTGGGGGCCCAGATGCTGTGTCGGGGCCAAAGCCGGGCCTGCAGGGCAGGTGGCCAGAACTTGGAAGGAATTCTCTTCCGCAGCCCCGGGTCCAGGCTTGGCCCCAGCGAGCTGCCCTGCCAGCCTCCGCTGCCTGGGGCCTCGCGCATTCCGCGCCCCCGCCCCTCCGCGGGCCTCGCCCCCCTCCCTTGTCCCCTTCTCCTCCCCCCACCAGCTGTCCCCTTTCCCCAGAGCGCCGAGACAGCCGCCGGAGCCTGGCAAGAGGCGGCCTCGGGCCCGAGGGGGCGTGGTGGGGAAGGGGAGGAGGGCGGGGGTGCGGGGATAAGGAGGCCCGCGCGGCCCGCGCCCCCAGCCACTGCCCGCCCGGGAGCCGGGTGCCGCCGCCGCCGCCGCCGCCGCCGCCGCTCGCCCGCTTCCCCTCGGCCCGGGGGAAAGGTCAGCAGCGTCCTGGAGCCGCCGTGCCACTCCCCGACAGCCATGAACTGCAGCGAGAGCCAGCGGCTGCGCACCCTCCTCAGCCGCCTGCTGCTCGAGCTGCACCACCGGGGCAACGCCAGCGGCCTGGGCGCCGGCCCCGGCCCGAGCATGGGCGTGGGGGCCGTGCCCGACCCGTTCGTGGGCCGCGAGGCGACCAGCGCCAAGGGCGACGACGCCTATCTCTACATCCTGCTCATCATGATCTTCTACGCCTGCCTGGCCGGAGGCCTCATCCTGGCCTACACCCGCTCCCGCAAGCTCGTCGAGGCCAAGGACGAGCCGGCCCAGGCCTGCGCGGCGCACGAGTGGGCCGCCGCCGACGCCGAGACTGCCGCCGGCTCGCCGGCCCACGGCCGCCGCCAGCCCGCCCCCGGGGCGCCGCCCGCCCCTGCCCAGGGCACCGAGGGGGTCTAGACCCGCCGCCCCGCTGGCCCCCGCGCGCGCCCTCCGCAGCTCCCGCGTCCCTGGGCGCGGCGCCCGCCTGCTCCTTTCCTTCCCTTCCAGGCGCCGCCTCGCCTGAGGCCCAGACAAGGAGGGGCCCGCCGACCTTGTCTGGCAGGCCCTGGAGGAAGCACCACCCTACCCACCCCTGGCCGGCTTCTCCCTCCTCTCCACTCCTCTCCACTCCTCTCCACTCCCCCCGACCCCCACCCCGCGCCTCCATCCCCCACCCCGCACACCCAACGGCACTAAACTGCCTCTGCTCTCTTGTCTTCAAACAGCCCTGACACCACCCTCCAGCCCCCTGGGAACTGAATCCACCACGTCCAGCACTTGGCACTGAAGTGAAGCAGCGAAGTCTATCCGAACTCTGGGCCGTCTAACGGGCCAGGGACTGCTCGCTCTGCAGAGCCCGCGGGCTTGCTGTCACTGCCAGGCGGCCGCCGCAGCTCCAGCTTCCTGTTGCCTTAGGGGCCGAGACAAAGAAAATCAAGAGACCTCCGACATCTTTCCCCTCCCCCCCTCCCTCCCTCCCCCTTGCAGCAAGGAGCTAGCAGGACACTAGGACCCGTCTGTGGGCTAGAACGGACTGAACCGGGGGCCGAAGGGGGAGGGAAGCTCCAAGGGCAGGGGAAGACCCATGACCCCAACTGTATGGCTTTCTTGCATCCAGTTGTCATCCCAAAGGTAACTTGCCCGATTTTCAGCAGCTTTGCCGTCTTCTGGTGTGGGTAACCATTGCTGGGTGTAATCTCAGTACCTCCAAACGTCGCCCCTCCCTGCGTGTGGATTCAGTTGTTACAGCGCTGTCTGCTTCATGTAAGGTGTAGGGAACACGAGGCTCAGATGTTGCCCTCCTCTGTAACCTGGGGGAATGTCAGAGGCAGGTAATAAAGGTTGTTTAAGCAATAGCCTAAGACTCTTCTCTCAGAGATGCCAGCCTTGAGACCCAGTACTATGTAGAAAAGGAATCCTTGTTGCTCTGGGAAATGATGTTTAGACTTGAGGGTTGGGTTGTTGCGGTATTTATATCGGTATGTTCAATTCCAACACAGTAGAGGTGATTGTGGGGGAAGAAAAGGGTGATATGGCTAAATGGGTCGTTTTCCCAAGGGTTTCAAAAGTTGGAACGACTTTATTACTTTTTTTTCCCCCTTTAATTCTGAAGCACCTTGAAATATCACGATGCTGAGTGAGGATTTCCCACTGAAGCAGTTTTTCGGGATACACCTTAAAAAAACCTCTCATACCTCATGGAGGGGGATGGGGGGATGGGTTAGCCCGGTGATGGGTATTAAAGAGGGCACGCGTACTGCATGGAGCACTGGGTGTTATATGCAAACAATGAATCATGGAACACTACATCAAAAACTAATGATGTGATGTATGGTGATTAACATAACATAATAATAATAAAAAAAGAATAAATGCCAGCCAGCATTTATATAGTAAAAAACCAGAACAAAACAAAACAAAAACCTCTCATACCCATCACTGTCAGCTATTATCAAAGTTAATTTTTAGAAGCCACCTTTGTAAGTCTCAAACCCACCTTTGTAAAAGTCTTTAGATTTACTAAAAGAGAAAAGCCATCAAATAGCGTAAATCACAAGTTGGAGGGACGATGCTTTAACTGAGCAATCTTAACCAGTGATGGGTAAAGCTACAGGTGCATGGTTTTTCATTTATTCTCCCTTGTCTCAAGAAGGTCATCAGAACTTGCTTGCTTCGGGCTCAAAAGCTTAGATCTGATGGGGGCTGTTTGGGTTTCATCAAACACACAGAAAAATCACCTCTTAGCATTAAGCCAACTTGCTTAAATACAGCTGACTTCTGTGACAGCAAGGCAAACATTATGGGGCACTTCCATGAGCTGATAACACGTAAACTTCATCCAAGGTGTTCGTTTTGACCTTGTAGCCCATCTGTTATTTTACTGGAGCTGTTAATAAGTTAAATGAACTTACTTTCATTCCCAGGACCCACTCCTTGAAGTTCGACTGGCCTTGCCCCATTGGCTGATCTCCAGTCTTAGTTTCAGCCTTAAGGCCGTGCAGGTGGGGGTCAGGGATTGGGCAGCAGTCCAAGACAATGGCAGGAAGAGAGGGGGTGCCTCAGGGCCAGGTGGGGAGGCCTGAATGGGATGCGGGGGGAGGGCACAGATACCCAGCCATGCCAGGGGCATGTGGGCGGGAACAGTCCCCAGCCCTGTATGTCAAGTACAACAATGTCCCCCATTTATCTGGCATGAATGGGAACACAACGTTGTTCTGATAATGAACATAATCACTGGTTAGGTGTTGACAAATTGGTACCATTTTTTCATAGACTTTAAGAGAGCATACTGCCAAAATATAGATAGATAGATAGATAGATAGATAGATAGATAGATAGATAGATATAGCTGCTCCCAGTCAATGCCCCTAATTAACATTAATGTGCCAGCTGAGGGAAAACCAATCCCACCACAAAACTCCTTCTGCTTTCAAAAACATTTTAACTTTTTAATGATGATTAGGGTACCTATGAAGAACATGTAGCAAGAGGGGCCACAGAACTCTACCAGTGAGAAAAGTGACCTGGCCGGGGGAGAGCGATTTGCTTTACTATCCAGTCGCTTTTCCCAAATACATTCAGGTTGCAACTGTGTCCCAGATAATGCAGTTTCCCAGAAGCCGGGACACTCGAATCTTTCCCAGCCAGTGGGGGTGTCAACACCATTGAAGTGGTCATATTGTGATCAGCAAAAGACAGAAGAAAGGAAAACCGGGGGCTTGGCAGTTTTGATAATGTATTCCTGAATAGCACGGGCTGACTGTCCAAATTGGGGAACCGTTAGCCTTCTCCTGAACGTGATTCTAATAAATTGGAATGATTTCTTTTTTTTTTTTTTTTTTCCCAACCCATCCGGCAGTCTATTTCTCCCTTCTGTGTAAGCAGATGCTGTTTTAGGTCAGGTCAGATCTTTGCTCCATAATAATAATAATGATGAAGAAAGAGACCCATGCTTCCTTAATCGTAACTCGAGGCTTTCAACAGAGCGCAACTAGGAGATGTTTGGAACTCCAATGTCTGGAAGCGCTCATCGACAGCGCAAAAATAAATGGAAACTTTTCTTCCATTACAGACATAATTCTGCGTTGTCGATTCACTTTTCTAGAGGGCTATAAATGGGGTCTTTCATTTGTTTATAGTTACCACCTTCTCCTTTTCAATTTGCCATCTCTTTTAGAAACCAAAGATCTGCACATGATTTGTATCAACAAAGAGAAAAGGGACTGGGCTGCTTTCCAAAGGATCTTGCCCGACGGCTAAAGCAAATGCAATGGAGAGCACAGGACCAGAATCCGGAGAGCTGGGGTCCAGCCCTGGCTTTGCCAATTAGCCGGCTTTGTTTCTCAGAACGAGCTGTCTCACCTCCCCGGGGCCTGTCTCCACAGCTGTGGGGATTTGAGGATCAAGTAAGATAATGCATGGGAAAAAGCTCGAAGTACAGCAGCTATAAGAAGCATAAGGTGTCAAGTTTATATTTCCCTTTTTCCCTTCTTGGGGGAGTGCCTTTGGAGTGTTGTGTGGTGGAAGGCGGGCGGGGGGAGAGAAAATTCTCCACGCAGTAAAGTCTGCTCTTACTGCTCAGAGAAGAGGATTGTAGGGACTTGGCCACTAGCTCCCAGATTTCTGAGCCCATCTCCCCCATTCTCAGAATCTTGGATGACTAGGAGTCTGTGCGTAACTGTCTCACCATCCTACTCATCCCCTCTACCCATAGCCCCACAGTAACCTGTTTAAAAAAATACGACAATAATACCGTATTTTCAGGGTTCCACCAGGACTGGAGTCTAGACTTTGAAGACATAGGTCAGGGATTGAGGGGGGGGCAGAAGAGAAGAGAATGAAGGGGAGGAATCACAGGCTTCATGAGGGAGGTAGGAGGAAGAGCAATCTAGAATGTTCTGTGAAGGTAAGGGAGCGTGACTGAGGACCACCGAGGGTGAATGGATCACGTGGGTCAATGGCCAACCCCAGGTGAATTTGAATCACCTATCAAAATGGCTTCCGGGAGGGACGCCTGGGTGGCTCAGTCCGTTAAACGTCTGCCTTCGGCTCAGGTCATGATCCCAGGGTCCTGGGATCGAGTCCCACCCACATCAGGCTCCTTGCTTGGCGGGGAGCCTGCTTCTCCCTCTGCCTGCCACTCCCGCTGCTTGTACTCTCACTCTCTCTCTCTCTCCCTCTAGCAAATAAATAAAAAAAAAATCTTAAAAAAAAAAAAAGAAGAGGCTTCCGGGAGGAGAAGCTGGATGAGAAGTCCCTTTTTTTCACTTAACACAACCTACAGTTGGTCCAGGAAGACCAATGATGTGATTAAAGCAACTCTTCGTTCTGTGCTGGATCTCAGAGCATAGGACATGTGGAGTACTGAGCTCTTAGAGAGGACAGCCTCTGTCTTTTGGCAATCTGTCCCTGGCCTTCGTCTCTGGCCCCTTTCTCTTGGCCAGAAGCTCAGCATATTCTGCAGCCTCTTCCTTATTTGTCTTAGTACACTGTTTCTTCACAGTAATACGCCCATGTTTGTGTTGCAGGACACACGGGGGTACCAAGACACTGAATTTTGCACACTTTGGTCCTACGCGACCCCACCGGTCCCTCATCAGCTGTGTTCTGAGGGAGGGCAGGGTCTTGGGAAAAGCTGCGGCCTGGGCCTCTTCCCCTGAAGAGAATGCACTCAGCGCAAACAGGGGGATACCTCAGATACATTTTTTCTTTTTTTAATTGTGGTAAAACATACAGAAGGTAAAATTTCCCTCAGCCATTTCCCAAAGCATACAGTTCAGTGGCATTAAGTATATTTGTGTTCTTGGGCAATGGTGCTTTTTTAAGTCAGAGAAAAAGGCAAGCACCTAAATGACTTTACATAGAAGGGGTAGGGCGCGTACTCCTTGTTTCCTGTGACATGCCCTGTGGGGGTGTTCACGGTTTATAATAGCCCACTCAGGACAATGTAAAGGTGAAACCCAAGGACAGAATCTCTACTTGTGGATTTCGGTGAAATCTGGAAAGAGTGATATCTCGAAAGTTTTGTCCTCCGAGCCCTGCGGAGGACTCGGGTGGTCGCGAATGACTGGCTTGCAGTATGAATTCACTGAATTCTCACATACCTGACCCACAAGATGTCCAGTCCTGAAAACGCGTCAGGTCCCTGAAGAAACAGGGGGCCTCCCCTTGGCTCTTTGAGGATCTCAGGATGACCTAGCAGGGGTTGCATCTCCAGCAGGCCTGGAAGAGAGAGAGTGGAGACAAGGGGGCACATTAATTTCATTCCTCTTCTCACGGGACCACTCCTCTGGGGGCACGGCGGTCAGGACCAGCCCTTGGCGGAACTATGGGATTGGTATTGATCTCATGTGTTCTCTTTCTGTTCCAAGCTTCACCATCACTCCCAGTCCCAGTCTTCCAGAACGATTCCTTCCCTGCTGCCAGGGGCTAATAGTCTTACTCATTTATGTCTCATCTGCTGTTCATCCCCGTGATGACCCAAGGAATCATCTTTTTTGATGTCTGATCTTACTGAGTTGTTACTCTTGGAAAACTCTCCATTTTGACTGGACTCAGGCGCCGAGGGAGAAGCTCTCAGAGAGGACAGCCTCCATCTCTTGGCAATCTGTTCCTGGTGTTTTTCTTTGGCTTCTTTCATTCTCTTGGCCAAAAGCTTAGTATAGTCTGTGGCCTCTTCCTTATTTTGCTTGGCATGCTGTTTCTTCCAAGTAAACTGACGTTTGTGTTATAGGACATGTGGAAGACCAAAGTGCTGAGTCTTGGGCACTTTGGTCCCAGGTTGCTTACCTTCTTCGTTTAGGCACTTTCTCATAACATACTGGTGGACATCAT